ATGAGAACATCAGAAGAGAACACAAATTAGAGGTTACTTTCTGATTAACAAGGGCTTAAATGACTTACACTGGCATTTTCTAAAGGTACAACATATGAAGCAGGGGATGTAGACAGAGAGAGAGAGAGAGAGAGAGAGCGAGCGAGAGAGAGAGAGATCACGCGCCTGGGAAAGTAAAAGAAAGCAGGACTGTCTGGCAGGGCCTGGCACTGTGTGAAGCTACAGAGCAGAGATAAAAGCAGTGACATCTTACTTTAAGGTTGAAGGGACAGATAATAAAATGCTTCAAAGCAGTTTTATTGAAAAACAGACCTGGGCTGGAAAAATACGGAAACATTTTAAGAAAAGTTGTTATAAGGGAACATGGTGAATTTAAACACTGTTTCAGAAAATCTATTCTGAGCAAGTCATAGCTTACCTTCAGGGGAGGGGAAATGCTGGAGATGGGAGGTACAACAGTGAGAAAACACATGTGTACATAACCAAATCCATTAAACCCCAAACACCCAAGAGGCCCTGGCAGGGAGCATGTACTTACACAGGAAACTCCTAAACCTTTTCTTCTTTTAAAGCAGCCCTGGTTAAAACAGATTTCAAACAGCATTCTATGAGTATGTGTGTGACACACCCATAGAGCCAGAGATGTTCTAAGTTGTACAAAAACTCAAGACACTTTTAAGTCTTTTCCCAGATGACAGCTGTGGCCGAGAGACCAAGAGGCACAGTAACACCAAGCTGCAGTGATCTGGCCAGGCCAGAACACAAAGCAGAGCATGGAAATAAAAGAAAATAATCAGTAGTCACCATCCAAGAAACTTAAAGGCACAGTTAAGAACTTCTGCAGAACAGTAAGGCACTGTTAAGCCATTTGTCACATCGCTATCTAGCTTAAGGTTCCTGGGCCACTCAGCCCCTGTTCTGATGTAGCAATATTAATCTGCAGAGGTGGCATGGTCAACCTGACCATATAAAATAGAATTAATAGTTAAACGGGTAAAGAGGGATTTAATTCAGGCTTGGGGTTTTTAGTAATGCCCAAACAGGCAACAATATAGCCTCCACACAAATGCTCACCCTTTATGCATGCACTTCTGTATGCTGAAGGAGCTACCCAGGAAAAAAGACACCCACAAGCCATGTGACCCTTCTACTCTGAAATGACACTATTTCAGCCTCAGAAGCAGCTATGGCCTCTGCCGTCTGGCTTCTCTACACACCAACGCAGGCAGGCCTTGTCTCATTTCCTGTAGGAAGAACCGAAGCCCTCAGTGCTTTCTCAATTTCACACCATTTGAGCTTTTTAATCTTTGCGCTGGGTCAAAACTGAAAGCTCAGTTTTCATTGGACCAGGAGGACAGGAATGAGGCAAGAAATACTACATTTCAAGTAGGAGAAGGTCCTAAAATGAGACAATAGCAGAGAACTACAAAAAAGTAAAAACCACTGATTATTTAAGAATATCCTCGCCCTGGCTGGTTTGGCTCAGCGGTTAGTTAGAGCGTCGGCCTGCGGTCCAGAGAGACCCGGAATTGGTTCCCGCTAAGGGCACGTACCTTGGTTCCAGTTTGTCCCTGGCCCTGGTTGGTCGTGTCGGTGGCAGCCACTCGATGTGTCCCTTTCACGTCGATATTTCCCTCTCTCTCTCTCTCTCTCTCTCTCTCTCTCTCTCTCTCTCTCCCTCCCTCCCTCCCTCCCTCCCTCCCTCCCTCCCACAGTATCTGAACAAAAAGTGGAAAAATGTCTCGGGTGAGGATTAAAAAAAAAAAATCCTCAAACCCCAAAGCATCCAGACATACCCTGAGAGAGATGTACTCTGGGAACTGTCACTGCAAAACAAGATGCAGAGGATAACTAGTATATCAAGAGAAATAAATTATAGCACCCAATTCTTAGAAGGGTATGGCTACATTTTAGTGACAGTGTCTGAATGCAGACAGAGGCCAAAGAGTCCTGCAGTGGGCCAATCAGACTTCAAGCCTCAGAGGTGGTGCCCATCCTGAGGAAGAATGGCTGCTGACCTACTGCTGATGCTCGATGTAACACACTTTTGGCTCTCAGAGACTACCTGTTCGTATAATATAAATACTATTATTTTCTAACTAAAAAATATGAACACAGAGCTTGCAGTTATTGAGATAAATGAGGCTTAGGCACCACCTCCCCAGCGTGAAATCTCCAAAGTCACAGCCTGGAAACTGTAGATGGAATTAAGAGTTGTTAGAATAAGAATATGAAAAAGTGACATTTTTAGGGTGTCTGATTCAGTTCTCTTGGACTAAATACTTATTTGGATGGAATAACCAACATAAGAAAAATCAGGAAATTGGAAAACCCACCTCAGAGTTCACTTTCCTCATCTTGTCACAGGCCTACACCAGCCAAATGACCATTTTCTGGGAACTAGTGGGTTACAGGATTTTGCAGTTATCCAAATTGAATCATCCTCATAACTGGAAAAATGGTCCCATTTTACAGGTGGAAGAAATGAAGCAAAATGACAGTTAAAGTCTCAGGTTCAGATGTTCAATCCCCAAAGTACTAATGAGCCGAGGATTTCACATTTTTTCTGTCAAAAGGCTGTTAGAAGCAAAGCCACCAGGAACAGTGACATGTGGTTCCACATTCTAACTACTAAAGTCAATGCAGCTGCAGAGGCTGTAATTTGTGCTCTGCACGAATCAGTACTTCCCCGGTCACTCTTACCCTAGTGAACTCCAAAGGACAACACACTGTGGGCTGCAGTATTGGGCGAGGGTGGTGATGCTGGACCCACAAGCACCACCAGCAACTGTGCTGACTCCAACAAGAGAAGGGAGACAGGCTACTGCTACAGAAGCAGTGAGACCAGATCAAAGACCTACTCTAGTACCCACCCTTTCAGCCACTCCCCGAGTCTGAATTAGGCCAAAGCTGTTTATGGGCTCTACCTCCCCTAGAATCTGCTTTTCTGGAGGACATGTGGGTACCTCCCAAAACTCAACGTGTTGCAAAATCTAGAAAAAAGTATCTAGAACCCACAGCCTAACTGGCAATTTTACATGGGGTACCCTAGACTTCAATGATGTCAAGCACGCATGGATGAGTGGTTTAAGAACAGGGAAGGCAGGTGGGTAAAAAGTAACTTTTAATTTTCCCACTTATCTGCCACCTATAGAAGATGACAAAATTCCCAGGTATAACTCTGCTTAAGTTAATGGCAGACAATGTCAAACAACATAGTAGAGCCAAACATAACAAGACTCATTTGTCAGTAGGTTGTCATTAAGCAAAATACAACAGACTTTCCTAACTGTTTACAGTCCGGATATTGCTTGTAAACTTCAGGCACTCACAGGCGTTTCCTTTCCCTTCTTCATCCAGTCATCTATCCACCCAAAATACCTCACCCTCCTCAGTTACCACTACTTTATTTATCCTCACCTGAGGACATTTTTGCATTTATCTTCAGATAGAGTAGGAGGGAGAGAGGAGGAAGAGAGAGAGAGAAACATCGATGTGAGAGAGACACATCAAGTGGCTGCCACCCACATGACCCCAACTGGGGCCAGGGACAAACTGCAACTGAGGTATGTGCCCTTAGCGGAAACCTAACCCGGGACTCTGGTCTGCAGGCTGACGCTCTAGCCACTGAGCAAAACCGGCCAGAGCAGTTACCACTACTTTAGACCAACCAAATAGGCATAAAACCACAGACATTTTCATAATGCACTTGATGTTAAGCCACAAAATCGAGGAGGAGAGACCCAAAGCCACCTAGATCATGCAATAGCCTTCAGGAACCACAAACAGACCACCTTTGCCAGAGTCTAGGTTACCTGTAAAGATCTCCATGGGAAGAGCCAACAATTGCTCTTACTTGCTCACACACTAGAAACAATCTTTGCTTTATTTGTTTGTTTGTTTTTGGGTATGTGCCTCTAGCGGCAACCGAACCCGGGACTCTCTGGTCTGCAGGCCGACGCTCCAACTGCTGAGCCAAACCGGCCAGGGCCAATCTTTGCTTTAGAAGCTTTCTTTCCGTTGCAATTGCCAAGCTGAGAATGAAAAAACAGCTGCAGCCCCTGGATCCAGCCAAGCCTAACTCAACTTTTCAATGACCTGAGTTAATGTGGTACCGGTAACCCCCACCCCAACTCTCCTGTTTTTGTTTTGCTTAAAAAAGAAAAAAAGATTTTCTGTCATTAAGTTTTTTCCCAAAACAAATACATCCTTCCATTGAAGTATCCTCCAGAGTCTTCAAAGCTATTAAAATTTCTTCCTGATCAACTTTCTTCTCTCTGAAGTATCCTGATTTCAAATTGTTTTAATAGACATTAATTCTTAAAACTGTTAATGTTGCACTTTGAAAGCAAACAAGTAGGCAATGTTGTTGCTTTTCTGTATTTGTCCATTTTTCTGATTTTTTACTTGAAAGTTTAGTGGAGTTAATGCACGACAATGCTGATAACATGGCCCTCATTTATTGAGAACGCACTACATAATTGGCACTACAAGTACTAAATGCCTATGGATCATCTCACCTAATACTCAGCAATCTAATGGGACAGCTGCTTTTATTACCTTCATTCACGAAGTGAGAAACTGGGAAACAGAAAGTAATATGGCTGGAGGAGTGGGATCACAGCTGGTTCTGCCCACAGATGCTGTACTCTTAGCCATTATGCCTGCTGTCTCAGATACCACAGCAAGGCAGCCAAGAAACAAAAATAGCTCAATCTCAGGTCCATCTCAGGGTTAGACTCTTGACACACAAGCAGGAAATCTGCCCTCCTGAATTTTCAGTTACCTAATCAAGTCTGCCCTTTCCCTTTATTTGGTCTAAAATGAGAGCCTTGGCCAGGCAGCTCAGTTAGAGCATCATTCTGATATGCCAAGGTTGCGGGTTTGATCCCTAATCAGGGCACATACAAAACACAACCAATGAATGCATAAAAAAGTAGAACAAATCAATGCCCCCCCAAATTAATAAATAAAAAAATAAAAATTATATACAAAAAGAGAAAAAAATCTTTACTGTTAGTAATTTTCCCAGAAACGGGGCTTCATCCCACCTCTCTCAGTGGTGCCGGTCCCGTTCTCTATCCCGGTGTCTCTCGTGCTCTCGGTTCCTTTCTTGGAAATAATCATCATGCCGATCTTCATTGTGAAGCAGGTCCCGGTGCCTCCTGCTGCTCTCCCGGGACCGGCTAGGTGACCTCTCCCGGGACCGATGTCTTTTCCTATTAAAAAGATTCTTCAGCCTCGCTCAGAGGGCCTAATACATTCCTTCCATAAGTGCTGTGTTTTGGTGTCCTCTAGTATTTAGCTAAACCAGCCTTCTACTACACTATCATGGACCCACTGCCTTTGAGAACTAATCTTATTTGGGAAAATAGTTACAGTTAAATTTGTTGAGATCTTACTAATGTATCAAGCACAGTGCTAGGAGCTTCACATGCATTATCTCATCTAATCTTTACAACAGGTCTGTAAGATTAGTACTACTATTGTCCCTTTTTAAAAACTAAGGCTTAGAAAGCCAAGTAATTCCATTCTCAAGGTCACACAGATAGTTAGCAGCAGAATTGGGATTCAAATCCAAGCATGCATGGCTCCAAAGCCCATTTTCTCAGCTATACCAGTCTTTTTTCCTAAATAAGTCCACTGCCTCACCCAACACAGATTCCAGACATTACACTTATTACTGTAAATGTCAGGTTAACTTCTTCCCCTTGAAGACATGAGGGCTAGGTCTGCCCTTTCAGCCAGGTTCCTGCCAGACACCCTGGGCTCCTTTCCTCCCCTGTCAACCCTTGGAAGAGTGCTGCTCAGGGCTGGTAGGCCACTGCAGCCATCAACTCACCTGGACGAGCTCCCGCTGGCACCCACACTGTAGGATTTGGCTTCAATGCCATGAAGACAGTCCTTAAGAGAGGAGATGAGGACACGGCAACGCTCATCATTGGCGACCCGGGACTGTTTGATAACAGCAATGGCTGTGAGCAGCGTCTCAATCGCGTCACTGTAATCCCCTGACGGGGGATGGGAAAGGCCAAGGGTGAGCAGAGGAGGTAAACTAATTGGACCAAAAGGAGAACTCAGGAGGACACAAACCAAGAGTAACCAGCTGTTCCAAAGAACCACATTAAAACAGATGAGGCAGACGTGGCAGGTATGAAACCAAACAGCACCTATATTCCAGTGCTCTGGAACCACAGACGTTCTCAGATATTGTTAGTGGATGTATAAACTGGCTCATCATCGTCTGAGGGCTGTTTGTCAAAATCCATTAAAATAAACAATGTGCATACCTTTGACCCAGGAATTCTAAAAATTTTCTACTTCTATTCACACCTATGTATAAGTTTAACCATGTCTGTTTTAGAGTTGTTTGTTGTATTAAAGAATTAGAGCCCTGGCTGGTTTGGCTCAGTGGTTAGGGTGTCGGCCCGCGGACCAGAGAGTCCCGGGTTTGGTTCCCACTAAGGGCATGTACCTCAGTTGCAGTTTGTCCCCGGCCCTGGTTGGGGTCATGTGGTTGGCAACAGTCAGTGTCTCTCTCACATCGATGTTTCTCTCTCTCTCTTTCTCCCACTCTCCCTCCTGCTCTATCTGAAGATAAATGCAAAAACGTCCTCAGGTGAGGATAAAAACAACAACAAAACAAATAAATAAAAGCTGGAAGAGACAAGAAACTTACATTAAACAAAACCAATTAGACACGACTTGAAGTTCCTTCAACAGGGTTTGGTTATATAATTATAGAACATGGTTCTACAGAATACTACACAGGTTCTTAAAAAGCATGAGATCAACCTGTATGTAACCAAAGGAATCCATGTAAAGCGCTTAGCACAGTGCCAGGCACACAGTGAGGGGCTCAATAAACGGTAGGCATTATTACACAATACAAAAGATGTCCAGAATGTATTAATTTGAAAAATTACAAAACAGTGTTCCATTTTCATAAAAACAATTAAAATTACATATATGTTATTATATGAAAAAGAAAAAAAAAAACCCTAGAGGATAGACACAAAACAGAAAGTGGTGGACTTGTAGGCAGACCTTGTGTAGAGAACTTTATTAATACTGCATATTTTTGTTTAAGTTGCCTTAAATCTACAATCAGATGTGTATATATATATATATATGTAATGTACACCTAAAACATCTATAGCACACATATACACACACACGTACATTGGAATTTTTATTTCTTTGGTTATTTAGATTATGGTGCCATCAAGAATTAGTCTATTCATTCCCCAAATCTGAGCAATGCCTGGCAGAGACAGTGGTCACAGGTGGGTACCTGCACAGAACTTTTCCAAGCTATGTTAAGAGCTTTAAGGTCAGAAGAGAATGCAAGGAAAGCCTGAAACCAGACGCGGGTCCAGTGATAACGAGGAGTGGCGGCTTCCTCTGTGCAAGGCAGTGAGAATACGAGAGACCTGAGGAGGCCCAGGAACACCAGGGTGTCAGCTCTACCAGGGGAAATTTTGCCTATTTTATAGGCATCCAATAAATATTTGTGGTTTGAATGACTGGACTGAGAACGACAAAAACAGAGGGAGATAGAGATTCAGATTTTGATCATCTCAGTGTGAAGGAATTGGTGGAGATCAAAGATTATTTTCATTATAGTCCTCTGTCTAGTTGACTTGTCACAATGAGCATAAATTACTTTTTAACTGAAAAAAAGATTTATTCAGATGCCAATGAAGGTGTTCTGGAGGTAAAAAAAAAAGTGAACATATACACTTCCTGTCTTTAAGCTACCCTGTGATTTCAAATTTTGAAGCCAGTGCTGAGAAATTATGGAAAACAGATGATAATATTTAGGGTTAACTTGGCGATCTGACAGTGGCAAACTCACAGTAAATGAATGTGATTAACGTCATAAAGTGAAACTTGGACCAGAACCCTGAAACTTCCTCTATTTTCTTCTCTTCGAAACCGAAGATTTTTGAGAGTCATGGCTTCTGGTTCTGACCACTAAATACTGACAGCAGGGCAAGTTAGCTAAGAAAGCACATCATGGTTTTTTGAGACAGTGTGGTTCAATGGTTCAGCATCAGCTCATGCAACAGAGAGTCTTGGGTTTGATTCCTGATGAAGGGCATGTCCCTGGGTTGCAGGTTCGCTACTCAGCCCTGGTCAGGGAGTATGTAGGGGGCAACCAATTGATGGGTCTCTTCTCACATTGATGTTTCTCTCTCCCCCCTCCCTCCCTCCCACTCTCTAAAAAAATCAATGGAATAAATACCCTTGGGTGAGGATTAAGAACAACAAAAGAGCATATTATGCCTCGCTGGTGTGGCTCAGTGGTTGAGTATCAACCTATGCACCAAGAGGTTGCCAGTTAGTTTCCCAGTCAGGGCACATGCCTAGGTTGTGGGCCTGATCATCAATGGGAAGGGGGCATGTTCTCTTTCATCAGCGTCTCTCTCTCTCTCCCTCTCCCTTCCTCTTTCTCAAATCAATAAAAAGTAATTATTTTTTAAAAAAGCATATCATGCCTTAAGGTGATACCCAACAGACTTGCCGCTTTCTAGGATAGGCTACATGGAGGCACCAGCTCTCTGTAGACCCTCAAATACAGATTCCACATCAAATCATCATCTAGTTGAGGCATCAGTCCTAAAAATCCAGTGTCTACATGTAGCACTGGATCCACTGCATAGACACTAGATCCACTGAGGTCAAGATCCCCACAAGGCAGGAATTTCATTCTACAACAAATACCACAATGAGATGGTATTACTTATATTCTAGGTCCTAATTTGGGTTTCATGGGGCAGGTCTAGACACAGACTAAAATAACACCACTAGAACATCCCAAAACCCAAGAAATTAGGTTACATATTATTTTTCAACCTGTGCCACTCTTGAGAATCTAACAGTGCTCTTGCTGAATTTCTTGACGATGAAAATGACAAAACATGAAAAAAACAGAAAAACAATGGAAAGACTAAAGGCAAGGAAAAGGCAGCAAAGGATGAGTTACCTGCACTGGCTCCAGATACTGCTTTGGAAATGGCACTGCTGGAAATTGCTCTGTTTCGCTTCATGATCTCTTCAAATTCCGCTTCACTCACTGTAGAGGGCGGAGGGCCCGAATCGCGACTGCACAGAAATAATACCATTCCTGATTGCCACACCCCTTATTATCTTTACACGTTATTTAATTATGTTCTCCTATATAATCTTTTAAATAGTTCTCTTCCTGTTCACCTGTTTTGTGTGTTCATGTTCTCTTCAAGGACAAGATTTATGTCATATACTTTGTAATTTTGGTGTGACAACAGTGCTATTCATAGCCTTCCTCATAGCCACTTACACCATCAAGCTCTTAAAATGGGATATGAAGGACATGGTTTAGGTCAAGAGGTTAAGATGCAAACAAATGGCTCAGTTGGTTGAGCACTGTTACATGCACCGAAAGGTCACTGGTTCAATTCCTGGTCAGGGCACATAATAGATATTTCTCACATCAATGTTTCTCTCGCAAATCAATTTTAAAAAACATTTATAATAACAAATAACAACAAAAACAAAACATTATCTATCTAACAGATAAGTATTTCCCAGGACTCAACACTATGACTACAGAGTTTCCACAAGGGAAAACACAAGAATTCAGTGCTCACGTCCTTCCTCAGGGAGAACAAAACACTTCACTGTCTACCTTCCTACCTGGTTCATACCTGAAAGGAACAAGATAGTTCTTACCTGCCATGGTGGTTATAGGGTGCTGAGGCCTTCATGTATGTATCTGGTGGAGGCCCCACTGTAGCGTTTGGTGGGGGGAAGAAGGCTGGATTGAGGTGAAGGGCAGGTGGGATGGCCCCAGGGGGAGGTACAGCCAGATGAGGAGGTAATCGAGGAGGAGGGGGCATGAGATGCTGGTAGTGGATGCCAGGAGGAGGAGGAGGGACCCCAAAGCTTGAAGAGAGAGGTGGTGGGGGTGGAATTGGAGGTGGGGGCAGACCCATCAGGGGAAGGGCTGACGGAGGGCGGTTGAAGTAGGGCAGCACACTGGGGGGCTTATCCACACGGGCAGATGAGGGTACGAGGTTCTCAGAGGGTGTAGCCCGTCCATCAGCAGAATCACTAGAATCTCGGGAGTGAGCCCGTGGAGGTATTCCTATGAAGCAAAAAGAACTATTGTTACTGCCAAGGCTTTAGACACACCCACAGGACAGTTCATCCTTCAGCAAGTCATCTGACACCATAATGAGGAAGGTAAAGGTGGCTGAAAAAGAAGGTAAAATCATCTACTGCCTTTTCTTTGGTCTCAAAGAAAAAGGTCAGAGGCAGCTTAGTTAAGACATAAACCCAGAGAACAATACCATCCTAAATTCTGTATGTCAAAGAATGTCCTTTATCCAGAACTCTCAGTGCTTCCTATGTTATTTATCTTCAGGTTTGCTTTATATTTTTAAATGCAGAAGGATCCTAATAACCCACAAGAAAATGACAATGTTGAACTACGTTCATTACTGTTAAGCTGGATTCAATCTAATTAGAGATTCCATGTCCCCCTGATAAGAATTCAGGGCTTCTCGCCTTAAACTGGTACTAACTGACCTTCTCTATCCTGCTGTGTACTTGGAATTTTTCCTTGCCAAGCACTCTGACTGGGGAATTTCGGGAATGAGAGGTCAGAGCAAGGGATGGATGACCCTTCATCCATATACCAGAACTGATAACTGGAGTGAAAAAGAGGCACACAACAAAGAGTAGAAGATTGGAGATTGAGAAATAAAGAAAAAATGGGAGAAAAGCCAAGAAAAGATCTGCCCACAGAACGAGCAGATGGCACACAGCTGACAGCAGGGACTCCTAGCAAACGCTTGGTACAAAACATGCCTCAAACCCAGGAACTCCCACTGTATTTCAATGGCCCAAATGTTCTACCCCACAGGGCAGCATACCAAGAACACCACCATAGCACAACGGGATGGTGTTATGCACAAGAGAGCGCAGAGCACGTTTGTATTCAGCTGGAAACATGGCTCTGACACTGTCAAGTCACTTGATTAAATGGGGTAGAGGGAACAAATTTAATATTCTACTTTAAACCTGGTTAATGTGGAATCCAACAGAAGAACATGATCATGTGGCCTTGGGAGTCTCAGAGGCAGAAAGATGCCATTAGCAGATAAGTGTAGAAAGAAGAGTGCTCCTTAAAATAAAACTTGTTGATAAACCCCAACTCCTGGTCAAAGCATAAGGTGGGACTAATCACCCTGGCAATCACCACGGTTTCCACACTGTAGTACACCAGTGCCTATCACAGCACTCTCTTGCTTTACATGTCTCAAACACATGACATCTTGCTTATGCCCCAAGTTCTCTCAAACTGAAGAAGTATTAGCGAGTGTGATCCCTGAAAGTTAGCCACCTTCCCATCTACTGTTCCCTCATCTGCAAGGTCCTGTTTTGTTTGTTTTTTTATCCTCACCCGAGGACATTTTTCCATTTTTTGTTCAGATAGAGTGGAAGGGAGTGTGTGGGGGGGGAGAGAGAGAGAGAAACATCAATATGAAAGGGACACATCGAGTAGCTGCCACCCACACGACCAACCAGGGGACAAACTGCAACCGAGGTACACGCCCTTAGCAGGAACGGAACCAGCTCTCTGGACTGCAGGCCAACGCTCTAACCGCTGAGCCAAACCGGCCTGGGCCCAAGGTCCTGTTTTGTATTTATGGCTACAGATCCCAAGAGTAACAATCATTTTTATTTATTTTTTTATTCTCACCTGAGGACATTCTTTTTTGCATTTATCTTCAGATAAAGCAAGAGAGAGAGAGAGAAACATCGAGGTGAGAGAGACACATCGAGTGGTCGCCGCCCATACAACACCAACCGGGGCGGGGACAAACTGCAACCGAGGTATGTGCCCTTAGCGGGAACCAAACCCAGGACTCTGGTCTGCAGGCCAATGCTCTAACCGCTGAGCCAAACCGGCCAGGGCTCAGCCATTTTTAAGCAAAGGAAGTCCATCAGCTGTACTTAGTGAATTAACAGAGACCAAGTCCATCAACATGACACAGCAGAAAAACATAACTCAGTCACCACTATTTCAGCAAACAGAGGTAACACCAAGTAGTAAAAGCCAAGGGAAGGTGGGAATGGTACCCTTGATGCAGCTATACAATTGTGTATCTTAGAAAAGTCTGAAGAGGGTTGAATTATAGGAAGACTCTAAAACAGAAGGGACTTGAAAATTCAGGTTGTCAAGGAAGAAAAGTGTATGCCTTTATTTATTTATTTTATCCTCACCCAAGGACATTTTTACATATATCTTCAGATAGAGCAGGAGGGAGAGAGGGAGAGAGAGAGAGAGAGAAACATCGATGCAAGAGAGACACATCAAGCGGTTGCCACCCACACAACCCCAACTGGGGCCGGGGACAAACTGCAACCGAGGTATGTAACCCTAGCAGGAACCCAGGGCTCTCTGGTCTGCGGGCCGACGCTCTAACCACGGAGCCAAACCAGCCAAGGCAAAAAATGTGTGCCTTTAAACCCAGAGCAATGGGAGCTCACACCACATCCATCTAAGGCTCTCAATATAGTTAAAAGAGCAGCTTTTCCATCCTGCCCAGTTTGGCTCAGCGGTCAGAGCATTGGCCTGTGGACCAGAGTCCCAGGTTCGGTTCCTGCTAAGAGCATATACCCTGGCCCTGGTTGGGGTTGTGTGGGTGGCAGCCGGTTGATGTGTCTCTCTCACCATTGATGTTTCTCCCCGCCTCCCCCTCTATCTGAAGATGAATGCAAAAATGTCCTCAGGTGAGGATTAAAAAAAAAAAAAGAGTAGCTGTTCCTATACCAGTGAGAAGTGACCATATTTCCACCTTCAACCAATCAATATAAGGTCCCAGTGGACCATCCAATCAACACAAAACAGTATTTTGAGAGGACTTTTGCCACCACCCCAAAGCCCCCCATTGTAGTAAAAGAAAAGTAAAGGCAGTTGGCTGTTTCAGGCAAGCCTTGCAAGGTGGTTGCACCTTGTGAAGTCAGGCCAATTCAAGCTCTGGTTGTCAGGTTTTGCAGGTTCACAAACTCAATCTTAACAGTTCACCTATGGGTGATCAAACCCTAGGAAACTAAGTCACATTAACCAAATTCACAAGAGGCTGATTCATAAACCAGAATGCCAATGCATTAATTTACAATGAGAAGAATTACTAACATGCAGACCGAACACGTGTGTCAGCTGGTCAGTGCATTCTCTTCCTGGTAGGAGAGCCTAGTTGGGAAACCAAATAAATATCAGAGGGTGGCTTGGTGAGCAGAGTCAGAATAAAGGGAATAATATACACTTAAGGGACACTAGCATCAAGCTAAGGTAGTATGATGAAACTTTCTTTACTAATAAGAAGTAGGTGCCAAACAGACTAAAATATCTGGTAATTGTAAGGGCACCCCTGGACAATGCTGGGGAAACATTGTTAAATTCACATTCTACAGCACTTCTTTTTTAAAAATAGGTTTTTATTGATTTTTTTTTTTTTTTGAGAGAGAGGGAAAGGGAGAGATAGAAACACTGATGTGAGAAACATGGGTCAGCTGCCTCCTACATGTCCCCTGCTGGGGAATGAACCCAAAACCTGGGCATGTGCCATGACTGGAATTGAACCAGGGCCTCTCAGTCCATGGGATGATGCTTGGGCTCCAGCACTACTTTGGGTGAACTCCTTGCAGAGCAACCTTCCAATCTCAGTTTATGACAACAGTACAGCCACCTTTATATACTTATTTTATACTTATTTATTTATTTTTGGCTAATCCTCACCCGAGGATATTTTTCCACTAATTTTTAGATAGAGCGGAAGGGAGAGAGACAGAAAGAAACTTGATGCAAGAGACACATCGACTGGCTGCCTTCTGCATGACCCTAACCAGGGCCAGGGATCAAACCTGCAACCTAGGTACATGCCCTTGACTGGGAATTGAACCTGAGACCTTTTGGTCCATGGGCCGATGCTCTACCTGCTGAGCCAAACCAGCCAGGGCCAACCTTACCTATATTTTAACGTGTCCCTTCTTGATAATATATATAGAGAGGCATGTCTTACAATTAAGCCCACTCACTCAGCGATGTTTTTAGACAGAAACACACAATTTAGAGCTGACAGGAACTTTAAACAATATGTATCTAATTCAGATAAGGAAAATAAGCCCACAGAGTAAAGTGACTTGCCCAAGGTCACATGACTTAGTGGTAGAACCAAAGTATAACCTATACCTACCTGACTCCCAGCAGTGTTCTTTCTTGTATACAGGCCTCATTCTTGGGCTGATCTATTGACCATGCCACCACCCACAACCACCACCACCCTCTGCCAAATTCCTCCACATTGTAGGCTGAGCCTACACCACAGAAAACAAATCCACAGCCCTCCCCCATTTGTACAGATGGTCTCCACGTACCCCCTCTTGGGACTCGGACGCACTCACGTTTCCGAGCCTGTGCCTCAAACTGTGACAGGTTCTGCCTGGTGGCTGGCCTCACGTCTACTTTTTCTCCATTAAGAACTTTTCCTGGCAGGAGTTCCAACAATTTATGGACAGAGTTTTCAGAGGCTACTACCACCTCAGCATACCTTGAGGAAGAAAATTAAAAATGAGTGATATCTACTAGACAACAGAGAGTAACAACTTATCTTCCACTTTTAGTGAAAACTAGTAAAACAAAAGATGTCTTGCTATTATTGCAGGCGCGTACGCGCACACACACACTTAACAACAACCAAAAGGTGTCAGTCTATAATCTTCCAACTCATTTGAAATTAGAAATCAGTTTTCTTTGCCCCTCATAGGCGGGTAGGACGGATTAAAATCCAGGGACAAAATATAGTGCAGACCAGTTATCCCAATGATTACAAACTAAAGGGGGCTTCTCAAATCCAGACCTCACCCTTTGGACTGGCCATTTGCTCGATTCTCGGCAAATTTCAACTCCACCACATCGTAGACTCCTATAGAGCGAATAACCTGGATCAGCTGCTGGTCTGTGGTCCACTGGGGCCGGCAAAATGGAAAAGGAAGAAATGTCAGGAGCTACACTGCCCCCCACCCCCAACCCAGAATGTCCCAAACCCTTCCCCCAAACTGGATTCTATTCACAGCCATGACCTCCCACAGGAAACCCAAAAGCCCATCAATATTTCAATTAGTACAGGCTTTTCTTATTGTCCTCACTCATACAGAATTCCAAACCACCCACCCCCTCCATAATCCCCACCTTTAGAGACTAAGATTAAAACCTATTTTAGCTTTGACTGCCTGGCTGGTCATCAGTTCAAACACTGATTACTAGCAGCTTTTAATTACACATCTGATATGCTAGAGCTGACCATTGTCAGGAACTTTCCCCTCAGTATATACATTACTATTTTGGAATAACAACCCCCTCCCATCAGCCCCAAAACATGTCACACAATAACTTGCAGAATAACAATCACCACCTACCCCGAGTGTACTAGAGCTATCAAGGTCTGATCCCTGTCACCCATCATTATCACAGGACCATCTAATGACCACCAAGAGTTCAAGGTATTCACTCTGAAATCTCATCCCACAGATGACCCTGCTAGACATAAAGCCCCAGGGTCAGGGGTGGTAACAAGATGACAGAAAAAGCAACTACCCACTTAATCATTGCTTTCTTCGGCATCAGAACGTCCTCAGGATAGTTCTCTTTCAGAGATCAATCCAACCTGATCCCAGGAAAAAGAAATCCAACCCCATCAGAGCACATAACAGTGCAACATTGGTTTTTGAAAATGCCATCACCTCCCAGTGCTCTCCCTCCAGTCCACCCATAGCCTTTTTGTTTCCCCATGCTCACCCAGGAGAAGCTGCCCACATAAACAGCAGCTCGCCTATTACGCAGGCCACTGTAGGTATACAGAATTGCAGGGGTCTTGTTATTGGGCTTGGGAGATGGTTCCTGGCGAACAGGAGGAGGTGGCTCAGTGCTGCTGCTTCTGTCATCTGAGGGCTGTGAGGTGGCTGTCAACACGTCATCATACAGGTCAATCTGATCTGTATTGTTGAACTCTGGGTCCTAAGAGGTGAGGAAACAGTAAAGGTGGGTTTCAAACCTTTCATTTTGTTCATTCTACTTCACTTAAAATCCACAAATACTTTATAAAATACACAAAATTTCCTTATCCTACTCTAGGAAACTAAGTAAGAAAAACTTCCTCATTAAAAACTATTTCACTTAATTATGCTCATGTAAGTTTTCCTCCCAAGACCTTGTGAATTGTTGGCAATGTTTCTAGCTCCAGTCACCTGTGAGAATTAAAAGGTACATGATGATTCAATAAGAACGCAAAGACACATTCATTACTGTTATCAATGAGGTTAGCTTCTAAAGATCACATCTAAGATGCACTAATGAAAATTTAATTTCAACGTCTTATGCATTTTCAAAATCAAGAACTACACAAACCTCACTACTGTACTTAATAAGAAATGGGGCATATTAACTTAGAAATAAAAAGCAGAGCTCAGCTGGTATGGCTCAGTGGCTGAGTGTTGACCCATGCAGCACCAAGAGATCGCCAGTTTGAATCCCAGTCAGGGCACATGGTCAGGTTGTGGGCCTGATCCCCAGTGAGGGGCAGGTAGGAGGCGGCCAACTGATGTTCTCTCTCTCTCTCCCTCTCCCTTCCCCTCTCTCTAAAAATCAATTAAAAAAAAAGAAAGCAGAGTCCCGCTGGTGTGGCTTGGTTGGTTGAGTGTTGTCCTATGAACCAGGTCACAGTCTGATTCCAGTTCAGGACACATGCCCCGGTTGTGGGCTCAATCCCCAGTGGGGGGCACACAGGAGGCAGCCGATTGATGTTTCTCTCTCTTTCTCTCTGAAATCAATTAAAAAATATATATTAAAAAAAGACAGAAAGCAGGGGAAAGGCATTTTAAAATGGGAACCAAAATGCAAAAAGAATAGGAGTTACTGGTTTAAATGATTTATACAAATGATTTAGGGAAGCTCTAAAACTCATAGTACAAAATCCCATCTTTTTTTAAAAACATGTTTTAGAAGAGGAAAGGAGCCCTGGCCAGTTTGCCTCAGCAGTTAGAACATCGGCCTGCAGCCCAGAGCGACCTGGGTTCGGTTCCCGCTAAGGGCATGTGCCTTGGTTGCAGTTTGTCCCCGGCCCTGATTGGGTTGTGTGGGTGGCAGCAACTCAATGTGTCCCTTTCACGTCAATGTTTCTCTCTCTCCTCTCTCTCTCTCTCTCTCCCCCTCCCTCCTACTCTATCTGAACAAAAAAATGGGAAAATGTCCTGGAGTAAGGATTAAAAAAAAAAGAGGAAAGGAGAGATAGAAACATCAATATGAGAGAGATACATCGATTGACTACCTCCTGCGTGCGCCCTACTGGGGACCAAGCCTGCAACCTGGGCACATGACCTGACCAGGAATCAAACTGGGACCTCTCAGTCCATGGGGCACCACTCAATCCACTGAGCCACTCCTGCTGGGCACAATCCCATCTTTCTAATAACCATCAAAGAAACCAAAATAAAATTAAAGATAGTAACTTTGGGAGATTTCCCCTCACTAAGTTCTGTTTCTCAAGTGACATGCAGATCCAATACATTACCATGACACCTATGTGAGACATCTTTGAGCAATACCAGAGATGTTTAATGATATACACAAACAATGAAAAGTTCTCTAAAATATAAGGGTCAGAAAACAGGAGATGTACCCATATCATAAGCTATGTCACAGTGAGCATTTAAAAAAAAAAAGTCTATTTTGGAAGACACTTTTGGCCTATGTGATGTATTACTATATGGACTGAATGTTTGTGTCCCATTCCCAAGCATAGGTTGAAACCCTACTCCCCAATGTGATGGTAAAAAGAAAGTGGGGCCTTTAGGGGGAAATCAGGATTAGATAAGGTCTTGAGGGTGAAACCCTTATAAATGAGATCAATGCCCTTATAAGTCACATGAGAAACTGCTAGCTTTGCTCTCCATGACGTGAGAATGTAAGAAACTGGCGATCTAAAACCCAGAAGAGGGCCCTCACCAGAACCCAAACCTGATTCTGGCCTTTCAACCTCCAGAACTATGAGAAATAAATGTCTGTTGTTCATACCACCTTGTTTCCAGGTATTTTGCTACAGAAACCCAAGCTAACACTACATACCAAAAATTCTAAAACCACAAGACCTACTATCAAGGGATCTTAATGTTTCAGATAAAATTTGTAATGTCATTATCTCAGGTCTCTCTTTTTTTTAAAGGATCAGACAAGTAATTTTTTTAGCTAACACTCCACCATTCTTTTTTTTTCTTCTTTATTGATTTAAGAGAGAGAGAGAAACAATGATGAGAGAGAACATCGACTGGCCGCCTCCTGCATGCCCCTCATGGGGATCAGGCCCACAACCTGGGCATGTGCCCTGACCAGGAATCAAACCGGCAACCTTTTGGTGCACAGGTCGATGCTCAACCACTGAGCCATACTGGCTAGGCTACACGCCAACATTCAAAAAGTACTGACCTGGCCGGTTTGGCGCAGCGGTTGGAGCGTTGGCCTGCGGTACAGAGAGACCTGGGTTCGGTTCCCGCTAGGGGCACGTACCTCGGTTGCAGTTTGTCCCCGGCCCTGGTTGGTCGTGCGGGTGGCAGCCACTCGATGTGTCCCTTTCACATCGATGTTTCTCTCTCTCTCTCTCTTCCTCTCTCTCCCTCCCGCTCTATCTGAACAAAAAAATGGAAAAATGTCCTCGGGTGAGAATTAAAAAAAAAAAAAAAGTACTAAAGATTATGCTGCTAAAATGAGAGAGACAGAAGTTCAAAGTGTTTTATGGTAACCTCAGCTCATTCATGTCATTGCCGTCTTTTTAAAAAGCGAATAAAGGAAAAACCTACATTAGGCAACTTGTCTAGTTTCCTGAAGAGTCATTTCCTCAGCTAAAGAAATCAGAACAGGAAGCTCCAATGACTTTCTCCCTTCAATATGAACACAAGAACTGCTGATTCAGAAGTGAGACCAGAGGAAAGATTCACTAAAAAATCCATTCTTAGACCTATACATCATCACAAACTTCTGGAAACAATCTTTTAGTTTCTCAGCTTATCAGAAGTACAATGGGAGAACATGCACAGAGATAATATTACTGGGTTGTTTTGCTAGTGAAGGGGGAAGAATTCTGAGGCATGTAACTAATCTCAAAGATCATGAATACTCTAAGAAACGCCACACGGGAAAAGTTTAAACCTTGTAAAAATGTCAGAAAGAGAATTTCAAGAGAAACTTTTTAGGATCAGCTCAAAAACAAGGAATCAGTAAGGCAAATTAAGCACTGGAAGACTGTTTTAGGTAGGCAAACCTATAAATAAGGATCTAGCATAAAAATGGGTAAGTTTGTGAAAAACAGGGAGAAGCTAATATTGCAGAGTGCAAGGGGGATAATAAATTGAATAAGGTTTAGACAAAGCTAGGGCTAATTGACAAACACTGTGTGTGTAAACTATTTCATAGCCCTTAAGTTCTGAATGATCCCAACTCTAGATAAATCACTTACTTATTCATTCATATACCAGTTATGGTAATTTACCCTTGTGGTTCAAGGTAGAGAAAGCACTTGATCCACTCCAATGATCTAACCCTTAGAGAACACTACTTCACACTAGGTTGTTTTTGTTTGTTTTTTTAATCAAGGGTATTGAAATGGAAATTAAACACACCATTTTGGATAGTCCAAGTAATCAAACTGGGATTCCTTCCATTCTAAAAGTCGTAATACAAAAATTACCAATGATTACTGGGTAGCAACCTAACATGCAGATTTGAATAGCTCAGAGGGCAAATATATCACGGTAAGCCTAGGCTAACCATCTGCTCTTTCAGGGTACCTTAGAGAATGATAGACTCAATCCTCGAAGACCCTGTTGTACGGATTACCTTACCACTCTAAGAAACACAAAAGGATTCAATGAGTGCAAAAGCCATAGAGTCTCAGTTCAAAGAAGTTGATGGGAACAGTTCCGATGCACAGGGCAGGCCTGTTGAGGTAAAATTTTATTGAAGAAACAAGGTTATCAATTTGTGTTTGGTTTTAAATCTGTCAGCAACACGAATTCATTTTACTTCTTCAGTTGGTAAGACAAAAAAAAAAAGATAACGACTTTAAGTTTTTCAGAATACCAAATAAGCAGATGATTTATGTAGTGATGGATTAGGTTTAGGCAAAATCCAATTCTACAAATTAAATGAACAATAAAATTTTTACTTAAATTAAAAAAAAAAAAAAAGTAAAAATTTTTACTTTGAAAGCAAGTATGTATTTAATACTGAATAACTATCCCATGAAGAACTTTGTGTTTAACAGCATAGGAAGAACTGTGATGGTCTCATGAAGTTTCTTGGTTAACAAGAGAACTGAAAGAATTATGAATTTAAATAAGAACTCTTCACCTGCATGTTCACCTCCAGCCCCTTTCCCTGATATGTGAAGGAAGTAATAAAGCCTAGGATTTATTTTTCTCAAAGCAACCTACTTGATACCATTGTTTCTTTTCACTGTAACCAAAGCTAAAAAATTTAGCTTTCATAATTACCATCTCCACAGTTCTCACCGCACAGCCTCCTTCTCTGTCACTGTTCATTGCCCTCAACCACCAGGAACACTTTTGAGCACATGGATGACTCCCCCAAATCTCCCTTTTACCTCACTAGTCCCAACACAGTGCCTCAAAAACAGAAGTAGCTCAATAAACACTTGTTGATGGAAGTAAGGGAGAGAACTGGGCATACTGTGCAAAGTGCCTGCTTGTCTTGCACAAGGACAGAGACAGAACACTCAGGAGAGAGAGCTCTGGGTCTCAGACTCCCGATGTAACAGGAGTCAAGCAGCTCTGCGAAAAAGGCTTTTGCAGGACATGTAAGAGATCAGGGAGTCAGCACTGTAGGGTTCCATCTAGGGAATGCATTCCTTTTCCCTGGGGAGCATAATACATGTGACGGAATTTCTGAGTACAGGTCAGTTTGGGGTGAATCAAGAACACTCTTAAAACATTCTAAAGCACAATCTGTACTGACTACCTTCACTCTAAGCCTGCTTCTAACAATTCTAGCCAAACAGAGCTTTTATCATTTCTTTAGCAGCCTCCAAATAACAATAAAACCAGCTTGGCCAAAAATTAACTCACTGATGGGTGGGAGAAAAACACTCCTCCCCCAACCTTCCACAAGACATTCAAAACCTGTACTTTCTTCAACTTGCTAAACATCAAATATTGTCTGGTTGGTATAAATGTCTACTAGATCCCACACACCATCTTTGGTCTATATTAGACACATAAAAAAATTCTTTTTAACAAGAGACCAGAAGACACAAATTGTTGACGCCAATGACTTCTACTCTGAAAAAGTAGCGACCTTTGGACAAGGCTGGTGTCTTGTCTATAACCTACAACTCATACTACTTAGAAATAATGAGATCTCACTTTCTTAGACCAAAGGTGGCTGGCCCTGTGGTCAAAGACCCTGTTCAGCCCATTTTCCAAAGTAGCACTGTTATCCACCCACAGAAGGAGCCAACTCCACTAAGCAAGCCTTCTTCTTTCCTTGCTATCCTGTATTTAAAAGACAAACCACAACTTATTAAAAAGTAGTAGAAATCTGACTCAAAGTAACATGGAAAACTCAGGAAAGCAATGGTTTGTGACTAAATTAATATACTAAACCTTTCTTTTTACCCATAATTATTTGACTCGTTTGAAATTCTAAAAAAAAATTTCATGTACTTAAGCCAACACCGGCCACATGTAGATGCATCCAGTTTACCTAAGGAAACACCAGAAAATGACTACTAAAAAGTATAACTGGCCTGGCCAGTGTGGCTCAGTGATTGAGCATCGACCCATGCACCAAAAGGTCGCTGGTTCGATTCCTGGTCAGGGCACATGCCCAAGTTGTGGGCCAAATACCCAGTGGGTGGCATGCAGGAGGTGGCCAACTGATGTTCTCTCTCACCGATGTTTCTCTCTCTCCCCATCCCTTCCTCTCTCTCTAAAATCAATTTAAAAATAAAAAAGTATAACTGGCCCTACATGGTTTGGCTCAGTGGTTAGAGCATTGGCCCTCAGACCAAAGGGTCTCAGGTTCAATTTCCAGTCAAGGGTGAGTACCTGGGTTGCAGTTTTGATCCCCAGTCTTAGTCAGACACCACTGGTTGCAGGAAGCAACCAATCGATGTGTCTCTCTCACATCAATGTCCTCCCCCTTTCCCTTCCACTTGATCAAACATTAATGGAAAAAATATCCTCAGTGAGAAGTAACAACAACAACAAACAAGTATAACTGGTGAAGCTAATGATAGATACAAGGTCATCACACTATTTTAATTTTGTGTATTCTAAAATCTCCATGTTAAAAAGGCATAATGCATTACAAAGTTTTGTTTTTTTAAATCTCACCAGAGGATATTTTTGCACTTATCTTCAGATAGAGCAGGAGGGAGAGAGAGAGAAACATCGACATGAGAGAGACACATCGAGTGGTTGCCACCACCCAACCCCAACCAGGGCTGGGGACAAACTGCAACCGAGGTACATGCCCTTAGTGGGAACCGAACCCAGGACTCTCTGGTCTGCAGGATGATGTTCTAACCGCTGAGCCAAACTGGCCAAGGCAAAAATTTTTTTTTTTTTTTTTAATCCTCACCCGAGGACACTTTACCATTTTTTGTACAGATAGAGTGGGAGGGAGAGGGGGAGAGAGAGAGAGAAACATCGACGTGAAAGGGACACATCGAGTGGCTGCCACCCGCACGACCAACCAGGGCCGGGGACAAACTGCAACCGAGGTACATGCCCTTAGCGGGAACCGAACCCGGGTCTCTCGGGACCGCAGGCTGATGCTCTAACCGCTGAGCCAAATCGGCCAGGGCCAGGGCAAAAAGTTTTTTAATGTAAACTTACACCAAGTGAAAAAAACAGCATATATTTCAAGCACTTCTATTGCCTCATATCCAAGTCAGAGTCCAAGTGGCATACTTTCCCTCTCTAGTTTGTTCTTTTTATCCTTTCTCCAAGTCCTAATGTGTACCCATTAAAAGATACCAATGGGAAGAACCAGCTTACTCAAGTAGAAGAGCGCTGAAAACAATCCAGGCAAGATATTATTAAGTTTTAAATAGAGACTTTGGAACATTCTTGAGATGTGAGCTCAAGAGCTCAGAATCAAACTGTATATGAGATTATTGCTTCAAGGGAAACCATTGTAGAATGTTTCTTGACATAATATAAAGGCACCAACAAATTTAATTTAGGGTACGTCAGTGGATCTATACTTGCTTTTTAACTATTTGTCCAAAACCTTTACCTCTCCCCTCTCCCCCCATTAGATTCATCAATAAAATGCATTACACAAAAATGCCTACAGACTTCTTAAGACGGGAGACAAGCTACTTACAGAAGATGTACAACAATCAGAATTGAGCTCACATTAAACGTTAAAGTATCTTTATATTGCGCCTTTGCACTGCCTTATGGGAGGAAGAGGAGACTAACAACATTTTTCCCAGCTTCAGTCTGAGAGAATCACAAAGGAACAGGTATCAACATTGTCTTCATAAATACTACAGAAAACACTACTCTGATTTTTAAGTGTGGTTCGCTTTTGAGGAGACAGACATCCAACTTTGGCTTCCTGGGGCAGCACATTCCACAGGTTGGCTCACCATTCCATTAAACCTGATTTTTATTTGCTCTTAAATCAAAGCCCTTCCAATGAAATCTGGAGTCTTAAATGAACATAAAGCACAGTGCTCAGGAGTCTTGAAAGTCTGCCACAGGGGCCATTTCAGAGCCCACAGAGGCGTGTTCAGGCCTAGCAAATCCTCAAGGACTGGCACAGCCTGGAACCACTGCAGCTGTGCTGGAAGATGCAGGACTATCCCAATGCGGCGGATGACCCCTCACCTGATTGAATTCCTCGTCCGCGTATATATCAATCAAGTCCACTCCTTCTGACATGGCTCCGGAAGGCAGATCGCGAGCCCGGCACACGGACAACGTAAGAAAGACGCCACTGCGATATCCAGAAAGAGGCAAGAGTCAGATGGCATGTGGGTCCCAGGTTGAAAGGAGGGCAATGGTTGCCAACCTCCCGTCTCCAGAGACGCAGCCTCCGGGCAGCCCCAGCCCGGCCCCACCCGCTCCGCCCCGCCCCCGGCCTCGCGCCGCCCCTCGCTCTCCCAGGCCGCCGAGGCTCGCGGGGCTCGCTGCCCATCACCCTCGGGCCCGACCCCAGCTACGCCGCAGCTGGCCGTGGAGCCTCGGGAAAGTCCAGGCCTCTGCTCCGAGGGGCCCTCGGACGGCGCTGCGAAGAACGCCCGAAGCAAAGCCCGCAGCCCCAGCCTGGCGCACCTGCCTAGGCCTCAAGGCGGCCCAGCTAGAGTCGCCACAGGTCCCGGGGCTCCGGCCGCCCCCGCTCCCCACCCAGGCCCAGTCCTCGCCCCCAGCTAGGCCCGCCCCGCTCCCTCCCCGCAGACCCGGCCCAGCGCCCTCAGCCCCCTCCCAAAAGGCCCGTGCCGCCCTCCGTCCGCAGACTCCCGCTGCCCCAAACTCAACCGACCCCCTCCCCGCCTCAGCGCCGGCCCCGAGCCCTCTTCCGGCCCAGCCGCCCCCGGCCGCGCGCCCCCGTTACCGGGAATATGGCGGCGGAGGCGGCGAGTCCGGAGTAGGCCCGAAGCGCGCGAACCGCTCTCGGCCCCCAGATCCCGCCTCCCCCCCCTTCTCCGCCACAGGCGTCATACGCACAGCCACTTCCGCCATACGCAGGGAAGTGTCTTCCGGCTCGGGACGCCTCTTCCGCAAGGCCGGCGTTCGGGAGTTCCCGGAAGTGGCTGGGCCGCTGGTTTCCGGGACAGGTCGGGAAAAATGGCGGTGGTCACCGTGTTCCCGGCTCTGACGCGGGTGAGGAGAGTGGGAGTTGTAGGGTCCTAGGCGAGGCACGGTGGAGACTGAGTGTGTCTTCCTCCGCAGATTTGGAGACCGCGAGGGGCAGCCAACTGCCTGATAGCCCAGGGCAAGGACAGACCCATGGAGAGGTCGATCTTGCAAAATTAGGAGATTCAAGCCGCTCTGCCCTGTCCTCGAGCCCACTGTGTGCCTGTCTTGTAGCATAGTTGAACGATTAGTCTTCCTGCGAGACCCAGTTCGGATTTCACCTACTGCCCAGGTGGAGCTGGCCCGACCGCCCCTAATCTCTGCTCTTTTAAGTCTTTCCTAATACCTGTCATCGTTTCACATCGCATCATAAGGTCTTTCTCGTTTTCACCTGTAGGTGTTTACCACTGTATATTTCTACCTTAGCACAGCTTTTTGCTGCATCTAATTGTATGTTGCGTCTTTTGTCTCAAGATATATTCTAATTTCCCTTTTGATTTTCTCGTTGACTCTTTTGAACCATTGGTTAAGTGTGTTGGTTTCACATGTTGGTAAATTTTCCAGTTTTCCTTCTGCTGTTAGTTTCTAGTTTCATTCCATTGTGGTCAGAAAAGCTCTTGTAATTCCAGTCTTCTTACACTTGTTTTGTAACGTAACATGTTACCTATCCTGGAGAATGCTCCCAGTGTGCTTGAGAAGAGTGTATTCTTGCTGCTGTATATGTCTGGTTAATTGAGTCTGTAGTGTTGTTCAAGTTCTCTGTTTCCTTATTGACCTTCTATCTGGATGTTCTGTCCGTTATTGAAAGTAGGGTATTGAAATCGCCTGTTAATATTTCTTTATTTAGTGCTGTCAGTGTTTGCGTCATACATATATATATATATTTATAATTGTATCTTCTTGGTGAATTGACTTTGTTTTATTATTACAAAACATCCTTTCTCTTGTGACAGTTTTTGCCTTATTTTGTCTGATGTGAGTAAGGGCATTCTGCTGACGTTTACATGGAATATCTTTTTCCATCTTTTCAATTTTAGCCGATGTGTATGTATCCTTATGTCTAACATGAGTCTCTTGGCCCTGACCAGTTTGGCTCAGTGGTTGAAGTATCGACCCGCGGACCTAAGAGTCATGGGTTCAGTTCCGGCCAAGGGCACATACCTTGGTTGCGGTTCATCCCCGGCCCTGGTCAGGGTCATGCAGGAGGCAATCGATCGATATGTCTCTCTCATATCGATGTTTCTCCCTCTCTGCTCCCCCCTTCCACTCTGTCTAGAGATAAATGGAAAAAATATCCTCGAATGAGGATTAAAAAATAAATAAAATGAGTCTCTTGTAACAGCATATAGTTGGACCTTATTTTATTTATTTATTTATTTATTTATTTAATCCTCACCCGAGGGCATTTTTCCATTTTTTGTTCAGATAGAGTGGGAGGGAGAGAGAGGAAGAGAGAGAAACATCGATGTGAAAGGGACACATCGAGTGGCTGCCACCCGCACAACCCAACCAGGGCCAGGGACAAACTGCAATCGTAGTACATGCCCTTAGTGGGAACCGAACCCGGGTTTCTCGGGACCGCAGGCCAGTGCTCTAACCACTGAGCCAAACTGGACAGGGCTATATTTTATTTTTTAAATCCTCACCTAAGGACATACTTATTGATTTTAGAGAGAGGGGAAGAGAGAGACAGAAATATCAATGTGAGAGAGAAACATCAATCAGTTTCCTTCTCATATACACCCTGACTGGGCTCCAACCTGCAACCTTTCTGTGTACCAACGACACTCCAACCAACTGACCCACACTGCCAGGGTAGTTGGATCTTATTTTTTTAGCCATTCATCCACCCTCCCTATGTATTTTGGTTGGAGAGTTTAATACATTTACATTTAAAATAATTATTGGTAGGGAAGGATGTACGATTGCCATTTTGTTCATTGTTTTCTGTCTCTCTTGTAGCTTCTGTGTCCCTCTTTTCCTCTCTTATTGTCATCTTGTTTTTCATTGATTTTGTTTATTTTTTAGAGAGACATGCTTTGATTCCTTTCTAATTTTTTGTTATCTATCTTCTATGGGAATTTTCTTTGTGATTACTGTGGAGCTTACAAAAAACATCTTATAATTTATTCTAAGCTGATAACAATTTGACTTTAATCTCATATAAAACTCTGATCTTTTATTCCTTCCCACTTCAGTTTATTAATGTTACAATGACATATTTTATATTGTATGTCTATTAATGTTTTTTATACTTAATATTTATGTATTTTTTAACTTCTATACCAGAATTAAACATGATTTATGTACTACTGTTACATTTATTGCAGTATTCTGTATTTGTCATATTTACCTTTGCCAGTTACCTTTATGGTTTCATATGCTTTTGTTTTGCTGTCTAGTGCGCTTTAGGTCCTTTGGGCTTCTTGAATTTGAGTGTTCATTTCTTTTCCTGGATTTGGGAAGCTTTTGGTCATTATTTCTTCAACCAAGCTTTCTGCTACTTCCTCTTTTCTTCTTCTGGGATTCCCATAATGCATATAGTGGTCTACTTTATAGTTTTCCATAAGTCTCTTAGATGTACTTCACTATCCTTCATTCTTTTTTCTTTTTCTTCTTCTGATTGGGTAATTTCAAATGGCCTGTCTTAGAGTTCACAGTTTCTTTTGATTGATCAAGTCTGCTGTTTAATCTCTATAGTGATTTTTTCAATTCAATTACTATATCCTTCAGTTCCAAAATTTTTGTTTGTTTCTTTTTAATATTTCTCTTTGTTGATATTCTCATTTTGTTCACCTGTTATTCTTCTGAACTCATTGAACATCTTGACAACGTTATTTTGGATTCTTTGTCAGGTAATTCACATATCTCTGTTTTTCTAAGGTTGGTTTCTGGAATTTATTTATTTATTTTTGTGTGGGCCATGTTGTTGCAGCCTTTGCAACTTTGTGTTGGGATTCACTCCTTTGAAAAACAGCCACCTCTCACAGTTGTTTTGGACTGGCTTTGTACAAGGAAAGACCTTGACCAATCAGCCCTGCTCAAGATTCTGGGGGGCCTCTCAGTTCTTTTGTGTGGATGTATCTTCTGTGAATTTGTGTGCATAAATTTCCTATTAGAGGAATTTGCTGGCATCTTTTATCAGGAGATCTGACCTCTTCCTCCCTCTGTTGTCTGTCTGTGGTACTGCAGGTTCTCTGAAGCTCCCACGAGACTCCCAGCTCTCATGGTCTCAATAGCTCCCAGGCTTGTTCCGTCAAAGCTGCAAGTTGGCCGAGACAGAAACCAATTTATTGGGAAGCTTCTTGAAAAGCAGGCATTTTGAACGCATACTCCACTCTTTTTTCCTTCTTGAGGGAGAGGCTGCCAAGCTGTATTGGCCTCTGCTGTACCATGGGTCCTCTGGAGCAGCATTAAGCCATCCGGCTCTCTTGTTTAGAGGCCCCAGGGACCTAGAATATGCTTGGTCCTATCAGTGCTCTGAGACAGGCGAGACAGAAACCATTCTCTCAGACACCGCCCAAAAAGCTGAAACGTTAGACATACATTTCAACTCTGACCTCCCCAGAGAGAAGCCAGGAGTTGGGGGTTCTCTCCTGCTTGTTCTATACTGAGCAGGAGCAGGGACCATGGTGAGTGGGTGTGTGCTAGTCCAAACCCTCACCTTTGTTTACAGCAGCACCCAACCTGGTACCCTTTCCTGTCAGCATTTAGATTGAGAGAGGACAAAAATTAGTCAATTGGGCAGCCTCCTGAAAAGTCTACATGTTAAAATTAGTCAATTGGGCAGCCTCCTGAAAAGTCTACATGTTAAAATTAGTCAATTGGGCAGCCTCCTGAAAAGTCTACATGTTAAAATTAGTCAATTGGGCAGCCTCCTGAAAAGTCTACATGTTGGACATATGTCTCTTTCTCTCCTCAGGGAGAAGCCAGGAGCTAAGAATTTTCTTCAGTTGCACCAGGCTGAGCCAGGGAGAGGGACTGATGAATGATTGTCATGAATTTTCCTTCTAGCTTTGATGCAGCTGCTTTTGTACTTGCCTGGGATTTAAGAGCCTCTTAACTGGTTATGGGATGTCTATGAAAGAGAATTGGTCTGCATGTTGGACATATGTTCCATATTGTGGAGTTGATGTCTCTGTGGGAGAAGGAGAGTGGGGGTTCCTGTTCTGCCACCTTCTCATCACATCTTGATAGTCTTTGCCTTTCTCTAGATTGGGAACCCTTGAGGATTAGGGTCCACACCATCACTATATGCTCAGATTTTAACACAGCAAAGTGTCTAGAATATAAACCACACACTAAGGCAGGGGTGGGGAACCTTTTTTCTGCCAAGGGCCATTTGGGTATTTATAAGATTATTTGCAGACCATACAGAATTATCAACTTAAAAATTAACCTGCCAGATTTGGTCAAACATTTAATTAATTCACTCCTAATGTGATGGCTGGAACGGCTTCTCTTTGGTGAGGCGTGTGATGTTAGCTACTATTGATTTTATGGTCCTTATGTGGCCCACGGGCTGGACGTTCCTCACCCCTGCCACAGAAGAATGCATAGGAAGGAGAAAATATTTCTGCTGAAGAATTTCTGGAAGGGCACTCGTTGAGAACATGTTTGCAGTTAGAGCTAGGTTTCAATTTTAACTGCAGTTACTATTTGGGTGACCAATATACCATAATTAAGATGATTTAATTTAAATATAGAGCCCTTTCTGCCAAGTCCCTATTTCAATCATCCCTTCTTTCAAAACAAGGTCTTATTTACTCTTCCTTTGTTAATTTCTCACCAAATCTCATGGTATCAACCCAAGCCAATATCACATGGAGGACTTTCATTTCTGTGTCCTCAGTTCCTTGCAAGGTGTCCTGACTTCCATGCACACATCTATTTGTTCATTTATTCAGAACATATTTATTGAGCTTCATGCCATTTATTGAGCCAGGCATGTTAGACTCATTTCTTCACATTCTCTTCCCAGGGAGGCTCATTCACAGCCTGCTATATATAATATGCCTTATCACTTTTATCTTCAGTCTAGTCTGTCCTCTGGCTTGAATTCTGTGCACTTCATTGCCTGCTTGACACATTCTCATAGATGTTTCATGGGATCCTTAAACTCAGTATGTCTGAAACGCAACTGGTTCTCTGGCCTCTCTCCCGGGAAGTCCCACCGTTGTCCGTCAGACTGCAGTCAGAGAGCGCTTGTCTTTAGCACCTCTTACCCTTCAACTCTCAAGTCTACTCCATCATCAAATCATCAGCATAACTTTTTTTTTTTACTTATTTTATTCTTGAATGTATTACAGATGTCCCCCCTTTTTTCCCCATTGACCCCCCTCCTTCCCAATCCCGCCCCATTTCTGCCTTCCCCATACTATTGTCAATGTCCATTGGTTATGCATATATGCATAGAAGTTCTTTGGTTTATCTTATCCCACTCTCCCCACCCCCTTCCCTTTGAGGTTCATTAGTCTAACAACCAATTTGTACTTCTTAGTTTGTTCATCTTTTTTACCCAACCCCCCCAACCCCTACCCATCTGGTAAGCAACAAAAAGTTCTCTGTATCTATGAGTCTGTTTCTATTCTGCTTGCTCATTTTCTTTGTAGATTCAATTGTTGATAGATATGTATTAATTGCCATTTTATTGTTCATATTTTTGTTCTTCAAGAAGACCCTTCAACATTTCATATAATACTGGTTTGGTGGTGATGAACTTTAGCTTTTTCTTTTCTGGGAAACTATATGTCCATCAATTCTAAATGATAGCTTTGCAGGATAGAGTAATCTTGGTTGTAGGTCATTGCTTTTCATCACCTTGAATATCTCTTGCCACACCCTTCTGGCCTGCAAAGTTTCTTTTAGAGAAATCGGGTGACAGGAACTCCTTTGTAGGTAACAAACTGCTTTTCTCTTGCTGCTTTTAAGATTCTCTCTTTGTCTTTAACCTTTGGCATTTATCAGCATAACTTGTTAAGGACTGAATGAGATCACATGCATTTAGTACCTAGTAAGTGTTGAGTGGATGACAATGATGTTATTTGATATTGTTAAATAAATGTTTGTGGTTTATTTGTTTCAGATGCTCGCTCTGTCAAGGCAACACCTGGTGTCTCCTTTATTCCGCATGACATCGTTCAGCCGTTTCTACAGAGGTGACAGTCCGACAGATTCCCAGAAAGATATGATTGAAATCCCTTTGCCTCCATGGCAGGAGCGAACTGATGAACCCATAGAAACCAAAAGAGCCCGCCTGCTCTATGAGAGCAGGAAGAGGGGCATGCTGGAGAACTGCATTCTGCTTAGGTAGGAAACAGGAGTCGGTGTCACTTCTCTTTGACTGAAGACAGCCTTTTAACATCTCTCTCTCTCTCTCATTTTCAGCCTCTTTGCTAAAGAATATCTGCAACACATGACAGAGAAACAGCTGAACCTCTATGATCGCCTCATTAATGAGCCCAGTAATGACTGGGATATTTACTACTGGGCTACAGGTACTGGGCAGGAAAAGCAGCATAATGTGAAAAATAGGATGACTTGGGCTGATTTGAATCAGGAATTATATCCTAGGCAATTTGTTTTTTCTTTTATTCATTCAAATTGATACTGAACCCAAACACTCTTCACATTTTTCCAAAGTGTACAAAATTTGTTTGATTAGTTAAGGCTCTTTGTTTGCAAACAATAGAAAGCTATTCTGTATAACTTAAGCAAAAAGGGAATTTAGTGAAATTGTACAGGTGTCAGAGGAAGGCTGAAGGAAAACTAGGCTGGGACGGAGTGGAACCAGACAGCTCTATAGCCTGCATAGCAAGAGGTCCTCAGTGGTCTCTCTCTGGCACTGCTTTTGTGAGGAATGAGATCTCACTGTGTCTAGTTAGGATGAGCTTTGGCTGTAAGTAAAAAAAGATACCAAAACAGTAATTGCTTAAGCAAGACAGCTCTGTTTCTCTTTCTCATAACAGAAGTCCACGGTAGGCACATAGAGGTGTTTTTAAAAGTCACAAGGTCGAGTCTTCTTGACTTGCTGCTCCTTCATCTTTAGCATGCATCAGCTACCTCATGATCCAAGGTAGCTGCTGAGGCTCTGTCTGTCATGCCCATGTTTCAGCCAGGAAAATGTATAGAAGAGCACAACCCATTGTTTGTGGAGCTTTCTCCAGAAAATGTACATCGTACTTCCACTTACTTTCCATTGGCCACAGTTTAGTTTCATGGCTGTATCTCGCCATAAAGAAGAAATGATATAGTCTATTTCATGTGTCCAACTAAATTGGGGATTCTATTATCAAGGAAAAATGAGAAAATGAAAATTAGGGGATATCTCATCCATTTCTCTCACATTCTGGGTCTCCTCTTTTTCTGTTCCCACTCAATATATGTCATGAAAGAGAAGCCATTCTGTAGGTTCCAAGAATAAAGTGTGATAATGAATTGTGCTTTTAGTACTATGTCAAAGAACTTGCCTGATTGAAAGTCACAAAGATTTTCTGTTTCTGTTCTAGAAATGTTATAGTCTTAGAATCAGCTATTTGGTTTCTCAACAACAACAAAAAAAATTCTAATTGGATTTTGATTGGGGTCGTATTAAATAAATAGATATATTTGGGAAGATTCTTTTAGCGCCCTGGCCGGTTTGGCTCAGCGGTTAGAGCATCAGCCTGCGGTCCCGAGAGTCCCGGGTTCGGTTCCCGCTAAGGGCATGTACCTTGGTTGCAGTTTGTCCCCGGCCCTGGTCGGTCGTGCGGGTGGCAGCCACTCGATGTATTCCTTTCACATCGATGTTTCTCTCTCTCTCTCTCTCCCTCCCACTCTACCTGAACAAAAAATGTCCTTGGGTGAGGATAAAAAAAAAAAAAAAGATTCTTTTAGCAACGTAGAATTGTCTAACCTATGAACATGCTATATCTCCATTTATTTCGGTTTCCTTTGATTTCTTTAATTAGTGTATTATCTATTGCTGCATAACAAATTACTCTAAACTGTATTGGCTTAAAACAACCTATATTTATTATCTCATTTCTGTGAATCTGGAATCCAGGCATGATGTAGCTGGGTCCTATCCTTCAGTATGTCAGAAGGTTACAGTCAAGGTGCAGCCCAGGGTCTGGGTCTCATCAGGAGGCTTGACTAAGGGAGGATCTGCTTCAAGCTCTCACTAGTGTTGGCAGAATGCAGTTCCTCATGGACTCTTTTTTTTTTTTGTACGTGCCCTTAGCGGGAACCGAACCCGGGACTCTGGTCCGCAGGCCAGTGCTCCAAACAATGAGCCAAACCAGCCAGGGCCTCATGGACTCTTCAGTCCTTGCTGGCTGTTACCTAGAGGCTGCCTTCTGTTCCGTGTCACAAGGGCCTCTTCCACGTGGTAGCTTGCTTCCTCAAAGTGCAAACCACGAAGGCAATAGAGTCTACTAGCAAGATGGAAGTCTCAGTGTTTTGTAACCTGTTCACAGCAATGACATTCTATCATCTTTGCTATATTCTGTTGGTTAGAGTCAAGTTGTTAGGTCCAGCCACATTCAAGGAGGGGGGTGGTCTCACACAAAGGCATGATACCAGGATCATGGGGGACCATCCCAGAAGTCTGCCAGCTACAATCAGCATATTTTGCTAGATTTATACCTAGGTATTTTATGTGTTTTGGTGTTAATAAAAATGGAACTTAAAAAAATAATTTTTCAATTTCCCATTGTTGGTAGAATGTAGAAATGCAATTTATTTATTTATTTTTTTGGTATTCCATTCTTTTTTTAAAAAATTGTTGAAAGTATTACAGATGTCTTCCTTTTTTCCCCATTGACCCCCCTTCTTCCCACTCCCACCCCCCTCCTGCCTTCCCCAGCCTAGTGTCCGTGTAGATTGGTTTTACATATATGCATATAAGTTCTTTGGTTTATCTCTTCCCGCCCCTCCCACCCCCTATTCCTCTGAGGTTTGTCAGTCTGTTCCCTGCTTCCATGATTCTGGTTCTCTTTTGGTCGACAGCTTATTTTGTTAATTATGTTTCACAAATAAGTGAGATCATGTGGTACTTGTCTTTCTCTGACTGGCTTATTTCACTTAGCATAATATTCTCCAAGTCCCTCCATGTCTTCTCAAAGGGTAAGAGAGCTCTCTTTCTTACAGCTGCATAGTATTCTATTGTATAAATGTACTACAGCTTTTCCATCCACTCATCTACTGATGGGCACTTGGACTATTTCTAGATCTTAGCTATTATAAATAGCACTGCTATTAATATAGGGGTACATATATTCTTCTTGATCGGTGTTTCAGGCTTCTTAGGATATATTCCAAGAAGTGGGATCACTGGGTTGAATGGCAGTTCCATTTTTAGTTTTTTGAGGTAACACCATATTGTTTTCCACAGTGGCTGCGCCAGTCTGCATTCCCACCAGCAGTGTACCAGAGTCCCCTTTTCCCCACACCCTCACCAGCACTTGTTGTTTGATGATTTGTTGATGGCAGCCATTCTGGCAGGTGTGAGGTGATACCTCATAGTTGTTTTAATTTGCATCTCTCTGATGATTAGTGATGATGAGCATTTTTTCATGTGTCTCCTGGCTTATGTATGTCCTGTTTGGAGAAATGTCTATTCAGGTCCTCCACCCATTTTTTGATTGGATTGTTTGTCTTCCTTTTGTTGAGTTGTTTGAGTACTCTGTATAGAAATACAATTGATTTTGTATGTTGGTTTTGTATACTGTGACCTTGCTAAACTCAGTTAGTTCTAGAAGCTTTTTAATAGGTTCTTTGAGATTTTCTTTGAGATTTTCTTTTTTTTTTTTTTTAATCCTCACCCAAGGATATTTTTCCATCTATTTTCAGACAGAGTGGGAGGGAGGGAGGGGGAGAGAGAGAGACACATCGATTGGTTGCCTCCTGCACGACCCTGACCAGGTCTGGGGACCAAACCACAACCGAGGTACTTGCCCTTGACCAGAATTGAACCCGCAACTCTTTGGTCCGCGGGCCGACGCTCCAGCTGCTGAGCCAAACCGGCAAGGGCATGCCTTCTTTATTCTGACAGACTTTCTTTACTCGTTCTGTCAACTAATAAGAGAGGAGTGTGGAAGTCTCCATCTATGACTGTGGATTTATTTATTACTCCTTTCAGTTCTCTCAGTTTTTGTTCCATATATTTTGAAGCTCTGTTATTATGTGGAGACACATTAGGATTGTTACATCTTCCTGATGAATTGACTCTTTTATCATTGTATAATGTCTGCTTTATTGCTAATAGTATTCCTTGTTCCAAAGTGTCTGATTGTAATTTAGACACTCCAGCATAGTTTTGATTAGTGTATGCATGGAATGGGTTTTCCCATCTATATTAGTTTTCTATTGCTGTGTAGTAAATTACCATAAACTCAGTGACTTTAAACACCTGTTTATTAGCTCATAGGTCAGAAGCTGTGCCCAGATCTCACAATCTGAAATCAGAGTCAGCCGTTTTATACTCCAGTCTGGACTCTCATTCAGGTTGTTAGGAATGAATCGTAGGACTCCCAATTGTCTTGTTAGCTGTTGATCTCTTTTAGCTCCTAGCAGCCACTGTCAGGTCTTTGCCCTGTGGCCCCTCCATCTCAGCAGTAGAGATCTTCCCTCACATGGAACCCCTCTCATGCCTCACAGCTGTCTGATTTCCCCTTCTCTCATCTGCTGGAGACAACTCTGCTTTTATAGAGCTCATGTGATGAGGTCAAAGCCACTTGGATAATTTTCCTATCTTAAGGCCAACTGTACCATAATAACATAACCTAATCCTCTTCACAGTCCTGGGGGTTGCATAAGGCTTATGCACCAGGAGAGTGGGAAGTACTGGGGGCCAGCTTAGAAGTCTGCCTACCACACCGTTTCTTTTACTTTAAATTGAGCTTCTTGTAGACAGCACCATATAGTCTTTATTTTTTGTTCAGTCGGGTAATCTCTATCTTTTCATTGGTGTGCTTTGGCCATTTATAATTCATTATCAATGTGATTGCATTAAAATATGCCATCTTTGTTTGTCCCCGGCCCTGGTTGGTCGTGCGGGTGGCAGCCACTCGATGTGTCTCTTTCACGTCGATGTTTCTCTCTCCCTCTCTCTCCCTCCCACTCTATCTGTACAAGGATTGGAAAAATGTCCTTGGGTGAGGATAAAAAATAAATAAAATAAAATAAAATAAAATATGCCATCTTTTTGTTTTTCATTCCATCTGTTCTTTGCTCCTTTTCCTCTCTATTTCCATGGGGCTTTTTAATTGAGTATTTTAAATTTCATTTTACTCCACTGTTGATTTATTATTTATACCTCTCTTTATAATTTTTTTAGTGATCGCCCTAGGGTTTGAAGTATACATCTTTAATTAATCACAGTCTACCTTCAAGTAATATTATACTGCTTCATGTATAATGTAAGAACTCTGCAGTCGTATACTTCAGTTCCTCCCTCTCATCTGTTGTGCTGTTGTCATACTTTTTATTTTTGCTTATGCTGTAAGCCTACACTACATTTGTATTGTTTCATTTTATACAGTTATCTATTGAGCAATTTAAAATAAGGAAAATAATAGAATACTTTATCTTTGTAAATTATAACATATATAGTATTTTATGTGTAAACATGTATAACAGTATTTATTATAATGTATAAAGTACATTGTTGTTTTTTTTAATTTTTTTTTTCCTTTATTGATTTTAGAGAGAGAGGGAGAAGAGCTAGAAACATCAGTGGGCGAGAACATTGATTGGCTGCCCCCTGCATGCCCCCCACTGGGGATAGAGCCCACAACCTAGGCATGTGTCTTGACCGGGAATCGAACTGGCGACCTCTTGGTACATGGGTTGATGCTCAGCCACTGAGCCACACCGGCTGGACTATATATATTTTAAATATGCTTTTATTTGTTTGTGTTTTTTTTTGTTGTTAATCCTCACCTGAGGATATTTTTCCATTGATTTTTTTCTAGAGAGAGTGGAAGGGAGGGAGAGAGAGAGAGAAAAAAAAAAACATCAACATCAGAGAGACACATTGATTGGCTGCCTCTCACATGACCCTGACCAGGGCCAGGGATTGAACCTGCAACCCAGGCATGTGCCCTGACCAGGAATCGAACTGGTGACCTCTTGGTGCCCGGGAGGACGCTCAACCAACTGAGCCACACTGGCCAGGGCTAAAAGTACATTATATTTTATATTTACCTTCATTTTTACTCATCTTTAGACTCTTCATTTCTTTATGTAGATCCATGTTTCTATCTGGTATAATATTCCTGAAGAATGTCCTTTAATATTTCTTGTAGTGTAGGTCTGCTTGATTAATTCTCTTAGCTTTTGTCGTTTTTGAAAGATATTTTCACTGGATGTAGAGTTATAGGTTCACAATTTTTTTTCAGCACTTTATAGGGGGACACTTTTTTCCCCTAGGCTGTTAGTGTGAAGGACTGAGTCAGTCTGCTCAGTTGAGCTGGATTTGAATTTGTCGTTGCTTTGGTTACTCATCGCACCACCAGCTTCAAATTCCTCTAGTGTTCCCAGGTGCCTTCTGGCGCCTGGTTCCTGACATGACCGGGACTGTGTCTTTGTTCCTTTGTGTATAACGTACCTTTTCTTTCTGAATGTTTTCAGCATTTTATCTTTGGTCTCTAGTAGTTTGAATGTGATGTGTCTAGATGCTTTTTTTTTGGTTTTGACCCTGTTTGGGGTTCTCTGGGCATGTTGGATCCAATTACACTTAGTTTAGACTGTTTAATATTATTTCATAGCTTTTAGATTCTGTTTTGTATCTTTCACTCTCTTTTTCCTTTATTTATTTATTTATGTTACAAATGCCCCTCCTTTCTCCCCATTGACACCTACCTTCCCACTACCCCTGACCCCGACCTTCACAGTATTTTTGTCTGTGTCCATTAGTTATGGATATATACATTTAAGTTCTTTGGCTTATCTCTTCTTGTCCTCTCATCCTCCCTCCCTCTGAGGTTTGTCAGTCTGTTCCCTATTTTCATATCTCTGGGTCTGTTTTGTTCATCAGCTTATTTTGTTCATTATATTCCACAAATAAGTGAGATCATGAGATAATTGTCTTTCTCTGATTAGCTTATTTAGTATAATACTCTCTATGTCCCTCCATGTTGTTGCAAAGGGTAAGAGATCTTTCTTTCTTACAGCCACATAATACTCCATTGTGTATATGTACCACCGCTTTTTTCTTTTTTATCCTCACCTGAGGACATTTTTGCATTTATGTTCAGATAGAGTGGGAGGGAGAAAGGGAAGAAGAGAGAAAGAGAGAAGCATCAATGTGAGAGGGACACATTGAGTGGTTGCCACCCACACGACCCCAACCAGGGCCAGGGACGAACTGCAACCAAAGTACGTGCCCTTAGCGGGAACTGAACCCAAAACTCTCTGGTCCACAGGCCAACGCTCTAACCACTTAGCAAAACTGGCCAGGGCTGTACCACCGCTTTTTTATCCACTCATCTACTGATGAACACTTGGGCTGTTTCCAGATCTTGGCTATTGTAATAGTGCTGCTATGAACATAGGGGTGCATATATTCTTTCTGACTGGAGTTTCAGGCTTCTCAGGGTATATTCCTAGAAGTGGCATCACTGGGTCAAATGGCAGGTTCGGGTCCACATGGGCTCTGCCATACCTACTCTGCTGTCGTAGACAAAGGCAGCCATGGCCTGTATGCAAACCAGCAGGAGCAGCTGTCCCAACAAAATGAGTTCCAGACAGGCTGCCATTGTTTGCCTGCTCCAGGTATAGGCTGCTGTGGATATTTAGAGGAAGAATAGAGACAGTCTGTATGTCTACTGAGGCTCTTGGCCAAGGCCGGAGTTTCAAGTTTCAAGATCTTTTTGCCTAAATACTGACTGACTACATAATTCATTCTGCCCATTCTTCTCTTGCAGAAGCAAAACCAGCCCCAGAAATATTGGAAAATGAAGTCATGGCACTGCTGAGAGACTTTGCTAAAAACAAAAACAAAGAGCAGAGGCTGCGTGCCCCGGATCTCGAATACCTCTTTGAAAAGCCACGTTGAGCTCCACACCTCCTGCCTTGGGGCTCGGTCCCTGGAGCCCACTGCTTAGGATGGATACTAGCTTTGACTTCCTGCTTTTCCCCTTAGACACTCAGCTCACCCAGACCATCCTGCCCAAATGACAGACCACTTCTCTGCCAGGACATGTAAATGTCCAGTGTCTTCATTCTAACACTTTTTTGTTCAGTTCTAGGCCTCAAAGGGTTAGAAGTGCGAGGGCTTCCTCTAGTACACATAGGAGTGAAATTGCCTTTAAAATTAAGATTCACCTGCAACCAACAATGCTGAATTTACTTTCACTAGTTGTTCTGAAATCAACTATTTTTTAAAAAAAGCAGATTTTGTGTGATTTCATAAAGGTGTATCTATTTTACCGATAGAAAACAGAGATTAAAGAAAAACTACAGTATTAATAGTATCTGTGATTACTCCTTCTCCTTAAAAAATTTGCATGTCCAATAATTGCTTTGAAAAATAGCTGATTAATCTGAAATTTTTTAAAAGAAAACAATGTTCAGTGTGTCAGTGTTGCTGGCAGTCAGGCCTGCCTGGTGTCTGCCGGCCTCCGCCACAGGAGGGCACTGTGGGGAAGCAACCGTGCGGGCTCCCGCTGCAGCCAGAGGTGTGCTCCGAAAAGGCCGCCAGCCAGCGCGGGTGCTGTGCCCTGGCTTCCCTGAGCCGCCCAGGGCTTTGTTCAGTGCACTTCTCCCTTGCCAACCCAGGGCGGGGCTTCCTGCCAGGGGAAGCCGATCCGAGACCCCTGACCTGAGTCTTTCAAAGGCACAGCAGGCAGAATGAGGGCTGTGAGCAGGAATGGGGGGTGCATGCTACTGAAGTCAACTCCCTTCCCCCTGAGATTTCCTCTAAAATGTCATTTTGTAAACTGAGCAATCATTTAATATTAAAGAATGTTTTAAAAAGGAAAATCCCAATTTCCACCCCTCACACAATTACTTAATTTTGTGTATTCTTGTGTACTCCATAGACATGTTTATAAAGTCTTACAGTCACAGTCATAGGCTTTATTTCCATGTAACTCTGCAGCAACATTTCCCTACATTTCTATAGTCTTCACAATTATGTTAGTTGACAAAATTACATAAATAATCTTAGAATGAATGAGTTGGAAGTGTTTAGCTCTATGGCCAGAAGACTTGTGTTGCCAGGGGCGATCCTGTTGGAATGGTCGTGGCCCAGCCTGAGCCAGCACCGTCTGACGCTGTGGCCTGGGAAGGCGGGCCGGAACTAAGCAGAGGGTGGGCAGTCACGAGCTGTATGTGGAGGAGAGGGACATGTTTCCAGCACTGTTGAGCTATGGGGTTCCCTTGGAGCCGCCTCACGGTGCCGCCTGCTCCTCAGTTCCCTGGCTAAGGAGAAAAGAGCCAGCCTTTACTGACATGATCTCATTAAAGCTTCTGAGCCTCCTACCGGCCAGCGGCTTGTGCCTTCCTCCCAGAGAAGGGGCCTCAGAGTAATCGGCCAAGTAGCCATCGGTCAAAAAGCCAGACTCCTTTAGTTCAATCTGCCACCAAGGCTCAGGAACTTCCTACGACAGCACACTGCCTCACTGGTGGCCACTGGGTAGAGATCTACACTTTGAAAAATTGTGGCAAAGAAACTTGACAGTTATGATGTGCGACCTGTGTGTCACACGGGGCAGGAAGCTGCCAGAACCTTCCCCAGGTAAACTCCATCACCTGGGGCAGCTGGTTACAAGTTTAAATCCTGGGTGCCGCTGCCCAACGGCTGGATACATGAATGGGCCTGAGCCTTGGTTTCCTCATCTATACAATGGGATGGTGATGCTCTCTATCTTACCCAGTGGAGAAGGCCACAGCATGGTAAGTTCTTACGTGATTCCTGCATGCAGTAAGCTCTCAATAGATATTAGGTGTCAGCCTGAGACTTAAAACCTGTCTCCTAACATTGCCTGGCGTGTCAGGAAGGTCACCAGAGCCATGTGCAGGACAGTCTCATCCGCAGATAGAAAGCCGAGCCTATTACAGAACCACAGGGTGTCTTACCAGCCAGTGAGGACTGGAGAGAAAACAGACCCGGGTCACGAGACCTTTGATGGAAAAATCTGTAGCACTCACCTAAGCAAGGAGTGGGAGTGAGATTTAGAAGGCAGAACCAGGGCAGACGAGAAGATAGATGTCACCCGGGGCGCTTACTGCAGACTCTGGCCATTCTCTCGGGCCTCATTTGATGTACTGTGGGGAGAAGATTAAACAGGCAGAGTTTATATAGGGAGACATATCTGGACTGGAAGAAGCTCACGTGAACAAGGCAGCGACTTGCCCATCTATCCTGGACACTTACGCAATAAACCCCGGTAGCCAAGTATTCACTTGCGGCTTTTTTCCCCTGGGGTTTGATGTCCTCATCCTGATTTTGTCTCATTTAACATACTGTTCAACGGCGGCCACTTTCACCTGCGAAAGGCATGCTTCTAAAGGAATTGTTTTCCTCCCAGGCTGCTGGCTTGTGTCATCTCTGAAAGGGAAGGATCTTGCTAACTTCAGCTGCTCAGTGTCAGACCCAGGGGTGCTATGTAAAGTTTTTCCCTTTATTAGGCATTAAGTAAAACTAGGCTGACCACAGTGCATTTAAAAAAAATTTAATAAACATATAGCAAGGGCCAGCAGCCCCCCAAGGGTCTGCGCTGAACCAGAAGCTAGACTCATTCCACTCAATTTGACACATCACTGCTCGCTGACCTCATTCAGAGCCCGTGCGGGGCGATGAGCGTCTGGCCCTGCCCCGCCCCATCTGAAGTGGCCTCGTGAGTCCTATCTCCAGGCTCCCACTTGACACTTCAAACTGGGTCAATAAAGTCTGTTCTCTTCCCATCATTTTCTCACTGAATCATTTTAAGTCTTTAAACTCCATAACCCAAACACCTTTTGCCCGAGCTCCATGCCTCAGGTGGAGCGTATCTGTTGCGGGTCATTGTGGAGCATCCCTTGCTGGCTTTGGGCATCATTGGGAGGTCGTCTGGCCTGTGTCTTCAGCTCCAACCAAAGCAGCACCAGCACGAATCTGGCTCCTGTTTAAAATATCATCGGGGGAAGAGATTCCCCTGGGGGAGTTGAGAATCTCACATTTATCCTTCAGTACATCTGCTGCTGTTGTGGCTAGACAGCACGATGCCACGATACGGAGGCGCGAGCGGCCTTAAATGGCAAGCAGGTCTGGGAGACTTGCAGCCGACAGCCGCCTTATTAGTTCAGCCTGTCATGTCTGGGGACGGTGGACCTGCCGTCCTGCGGCTGTCAAGTTGATGATGCTGATCAGCTTCTAGTTAAGCCACCCTGTGACACCTCGATTTCCCGGTGAGCCCTCCGAGCAGTGTCAGACTGCCCCCGTCAGGTGAAATGGCATGGGTGGGACAAGTGGCCTAAGGCAAGCAGTGCTCTTTCGGCCTTAAGAAACAAATGCCTGTTAGCAGTCGGACATTTCGGAGGGATGGTAGAAAAAGCGAAGTATCCAAGCTGACATCAGGCTTCAAAGGAAAAGATGTGCAGAGAAATCCACCACCTGTAACCTGTCATCACAAAGGGAGAGTTCAAGGCTTTTGCTGGGTCCTAGTTCTTGCCTCAATCCAGATACTCCTGCCGAGGAGAGGAATGTTCTCTTTCAAAAGGACAGTGAGCCCAGCCGGTGTGGCTCAGTGGTTGAGCGTCGACTCACGCACCAAGAAGTCGCCGGTTTCATTCCCGGTCAGAACACATGCTTAGGTTGTGGGCCCGATCCCAGGGGAGACCTAAAGGAGGTGGCCAATCCATGTTCTCTCTCATTGATGTCTCTGTCTCTCTCCCTCTCCATCCCTCTCTCTCTCTAAAATCAATAAAGAAAAAAAAATTTCTTCTAAAAAGGACAATAAACCCTGGTCTATTTAGCTGGTTGGTTAGAGTGTCAGTCTGTGGACCAAAGGGTCTTGAGTTCGATTCCCAGTCAAGGGCACATACCTGGGTTGCAGGTTCGATCCCTGGCCTTAGTGGGGGTTGAGCAGGAGGCAACCAATTGATGTCTCTCTTTCATATCAATGTTTCTCTCTTTCTCTCTACCTCCCCTCCCTCCCTTTCTTCCACTCTCTCTAAAAATCAATGGAAAATGTCCTTGGGAGAGGATTAACAGCAACAAAATAATAATAAATAAATAAAAATAAAAAGGGCAATGGGCCTTGGCCAGGTAGCCCAGTTGGTTAGAGCATTGTCCCTATACACTAAGGTTATGGGTTTGGTCCCCGGTCAGGGCACATACAAGAATCAACCAATGAATGCATGAATAAGTGGAACAACAAATCAATGTTTCTCTCTCTCTAAAAATCAATGTTTAAAAAGGGCAATGGGAACACATTCTAAGTAACTACACATCACAGTGTGTTGTTTTAAAAAGCCAATTAAAACGTTAAGATGTACATTTCACTTCCCAGCGGATTTCAGTGTAGTTAGTACGTAGTGAAGTGTTCACATTTGGTGTTGCCCTGGCTCACATGTTGGGGGGAAATGGAGCAGAACCGTTAAGGACTGCTGCTTGGGAGCCAGACCCAAGTTAGAATCCTGGCTCTGCCATCTGTCAGCTGGGTGACCTCGGGCACGCTGCTTGATCTCTCCCCGCTTCCGTGTCTCGTCTGCAAAAAGGCAAGAAAAGGCGCCTCATCTCCCGTGTGCGTAAGGACGAAACGAAGTCATGCCTGCAAAGTGCTTAGCACACACCTGACACCCTGTCCGCGCTGGACAGTGGTAACAGCTACAGCATCATTAGCACATGGCGTGCCCAGCAGTGCTGAGAGCTTCACAGAGACATGCCGTTCACTGCCCACAGCAGTAACGCGAGACGGGCACGGTGATCGCTCCCTCTGACAGACGAGGAGAGTGCGGCATGGTGAGGCGAAGCTTGCGCGAGGTCACGCGTTGGAAGGGGTAGAACTAGAATCTGGAGGCAGGCGGTGGGCCTCCGGGGCTCAGGCACCATAGCCACATGGCCTTGGAACACGGAAGCATCATCCCTGCTCTGCTGCTGCTGGCTTCTCGTGCTGGATCGCTTCTTGGTCTATGGAGCCACTGCTGTGTGGAGGACTTTGCAGACACCTCTCTTGGTTCCCTAGAGGACCCGGGGACCCTGACTCTCACAGAGGTGACGTCACAACCTTAGCAGCTCCAGCCTTAACCACCTGAGCCCTCCAAGTAGGACAGGTGCTACCTAGCTGTCCAGGTGATGGCATTCAGAGAGGTTTCCTTTAAATTGGGGAGAAGGGGTTGCAGTCAAAGGGCAGGGTTCAAACTCTGCTTTCTTTCAAGGGTTTCATCCTTACCCTGAGCTGCAGAGATGAGCTTGGAGGCTTTCTGGGTCTTCCTGTCCCTGTCTGTCCTTTCCCTCCAAGTCAGAGGCTGGCTCTGAGAGCTGGGTGCAGCTGGTTGGGAAGGCCATGTGACCCCCATCCCAGGGCCCCGAGATGAGTTGCCCAACCTCCATCGCACCCACTGGCTCCAGCCAGTGCTGGTTCCTCCAAACGCCAAAGGCTCTGAGGCCAGGCCCATGTGGACAGGACCCTCTCTCCCCTCTTGCTCCAACCCCCTCAGCAGGGTCACCCAGCAGGGAGAAGGTTTTAATAGATATTGCACTAGATACTGTGTTTCTAGCACGAGTAGAGACAGGCCGGAGGCCTGATCCAAACAGGAAGAGTGATGCTCAGAAATCTAATTAGAAAGATACACTGTACTGGTCTTCACTAGATGCCGGGGTCAGAGGAGACTGCGTGTGGTCTGTCCTTGAGGAATTCCCCGTCTGTTCTTCCACTCTGGGTTTCATTGACTCACTGCAGAGCTTGTGTGCAGTAGCAGGAGTGGCGGGCCCAGTGCCAGACCCAGGAGACACAGAGATGAGTGGCATGCAGTCCATGCCCTGGAGGACCTCTGAAGACAAGAGAGGGAA